TTTAGGACGGCAACGCGACGGCAACGGCTACCAATACAATAGATCATTGAAAAGAATTGAGTAATTACAATATATAAATAATTTAGACATTGTCCTCGCTCTGTTTACAACGCTAAATCACAGATTTTCACGTCTTGATACAACGGCTGCATTCCAAGCCACAACAAGTGCAACTTCAGACTGGGTTTAGCAGAACTCTTCCCAACCATAAAACCCATGTCTTCAACTTCTAAAACTGTATTAAATTCATACGATTGATAATAAACGACGAACTATCTTTACTACCATTTATTTGAAGGAGTTTGTTTTGGCCGTCGCGTTGCCGTCCTAAAATCGTAAGGTGTCTAATGTTCAGAATACGACACGTACGACTGCGATAGCACTGGTTTCTAAATATGTAAATTTCAAAACACGAAAATTGTCAAATTTAGACCACCAACCGTTCGGCCAGAAGTGAAATGCTAAAATAACAACGAGATGTTTAGATTCTTTTTGAGGTCATATTAGACGTCACGTCTTAACCTTAACGGTGATTTTTTTTTAACGAAATTGTGTGTACAAGTATATAGGATAGACAATGATCACATGTGTTCAGTGGGATATAGACTCCACCCTGTCAACTTTCCCTGTGAGAGGAACCAACGACTTTCAGCAGAGCGTTGACTGACTCTTTTCCCATGAGTCCGTAGCGAGAATCACAGAACTTGGCTCGAAAGTCCCTAGGCTGGGTAACACTTGAAGAGCGTAGGGCACAAATGAAAGCCAGGCTCATGTATAAGACAGTTAATGGTTTAGCCCCTCAAAGACTATGCGAAGCTTTCCAAGGTTTGAATACCATTCATGATTACAATTTGAGAGGCTCTTCGACAAAGCGTTATATTCCAAAACCTAAAACAGAATTTCTAACACAGTGAACCTAAACTATGGAATGAGATACCAAAGGAAATACGAAATTCGGTATCGTATAAGTCGTTTTGTAGTAGGCTTTCCTCCTCGACCTTAAATTTAATCTAATCTTATTTTAATATTATTTTGTGTGATAACTGTGATGATTATTTATTTATTTGTCTAATTATATGTATGTATTTTTAAGTAGTTCTAAGTTGTAAATATTTACACATCCCTTTTGGAAATTAGCACTTGCTGAAAAGGCTAATGTGTTTAAATAAAGTTGACCTTATTATCTTATCTAATCGAACTAATCTGCATTAAGGCGCTTGCTTTGACGACCGGCCCACCGAAGCCCTGGTATGCCCGAAAACATACAGGCGTATTTTATAGCCATGGTAATAAAGTAACCCAATACCCCATTGTATACTGTTTAATTTATATCTACAAAACCATTTAACTATCTCTGGGCCTCCTCTGGTAAAATTTTACCACGTTTTTATCAATATATCTGAGAAAATTTATTCTATAAAAATAAGTGAAATCTGGCCCCACCTAGGTTTTTGCTGCCCCCCCCCTGACCAAAAATCCTGGCTACGCCTTAGCCCACAAATGATGAAAACGATTGTCAATTGACCATACGAATTGAACTTACCTGTAGATGGAAAAGGTTATGGTTGCTTAGAGTCCGCAACCATAACCTCCAAATTGAGATCGGGCGCTATTAAAATATACCCCGTGAAGAACGCTTATGTAAAATCTGCAATTCAGGAGAGGCGGAAAATGAAACCCATCTCCTATCTTGCAAAGCCTATGAGCAATCTCGTGCAAACCTTCGAAGTTCATTAGAGAATGCATTATCTGACGAGATTAATTTAAACTCTCAAACTCTATCAGCGGACATAATGAAGTCAACTGATAGTGAAATCATAACCAAACTTTCAAAATTTGTTTGTTTATGTTTCGAGCAAAGACTTAAATACCTTGAAACCAGGAATGCAGATTAGCAAAGGTTGTAATAACCACCTTATTTGTAAATAGTATACTTGTCTTCTTTCCTTTTAATTCTTCTTAATATTGTATTAGTCTATTATAAATCATTCCACAAATAGTAATCTGTAATAGTCCTAGAGTTTATCATAGTTTCTTCTATATATTGTTTGTAATGCTTTAGCAATACTGTAAATTTATGGTCATGCTAATAAAGCTATTAATTACCTTACCTCAGAGCTATTTTAAGACCTGCTATTGAAAAAAATACCACTTGTTCTATATTATGTACATCAATATGCATATAATATGACTAAATCGTTACGGAAATACATTTACAAGCAAGCATTATAGTTACTCTGACTGAAGAGGCTTTTATTTACGTTTTTAGTTAGCGGGTATATGCCCATAAAACTCGCTTGCCACCAGAGAACCTCTGCAGCCAAGGTAGTGGATATATAGTCCGCATTAGACTTTCTCAAAATCCCTGACTTGCAGCAAGTCTAAGGCTAAGCCGATTTAAAAGATAGTGTGGAGTCACGCTAGCTTGGTTAGCTGTTCTTAATGCTTTCCCAACACTATCATGTATTCTATTGAAGTTAAAACATAGTTGGAACACTCATCAAACTATTATTTTGTTCAACTAGAGCTTGAAATGTCCGCTGTAACAATGTGTGACTACCAACTCTCATCAACTCTTTGCCTCGTTTGATCGCGGGGATTTAGTCGTAAAACAAGATAAATATTGAAGAGGTTACACTTCTTGTTTAAAATGCGCAATTTTGAAAAAAAAAAGAAAAGTTTGGAAGATCTAGACCTACCTGTGTGTCACTGTGGTGCTTAGTGTGACCTCTTGAGCAACAGATCATGATCAACCTATGAGATTGAAGTTGTCTTGTCTTTAATCAATCTTCTTCTATTGACCAATTCGAAAATTAGCTACCACAATTTTGCATTATTGATCCGGTTGACTGCACTGGAGTTATAAAATTCTCGGGGGTTTTCAGGTGTCACAAACATAGAGATTATAAATAACACTAGAGGGGGCATCGTAATCTTAATTTAAATTCAGTCAAAGAAACGGAACGCGGCTATTGGGGGGCAAATGATTGAAATGCTAAAATAAGAGCGAGTTTGAGCCAAAATCTTTATACTCTTGTTTTTGGCAGTTAAGTAGTCCCGTTTTGATTTTTACCCAGTATTTTTACCTCAATTTTGTCTATAACACATTGAGAGCGCTCCAAAATAATGCTGATGTCAGCAATTCTGATATTTTCAAGAGGAATTTTAAATCGTTTGAATTCAAAATTTTGGGGGAATGTTTAGTCAAGCTTGCTACAAGCCTGTTGCGAACACATCTTTTGACAAGTTGTATTTTTACTTGTGTACACACGTAAAAACGCACAAGTTGTTACAGGTCTGCAAACAAGTTGTTACAAATCTGTTCGCAAGCTGTCGACAAGTTGTGTTCGCACTGCTTGTTCCCAGTTGTAACAAGTTTGGAACGAACTGTTAACAACTTGTAACAAGCTTGATGGCATTATCAGACTTGCTACAAGGTTGTTCTAACAAGTCTGATACAGTCATGATATAACAAGAATGTTACAAGGTTGATGACACAAAGTTGTAACAATATTCTTATATCATGACTGTATCGGACTTGTTGGAACAACCTTGCAACAAGTCTGTTGAGCTCAACAACGTCGTAGCGAGTTGTCAACAAACCGTTGACAACTTGTCAACAAACTGGGAACAAGCATTGCGAACACATTCTGTTGACAAGTTGTTGGAACAGCATTGCTACAAGTCTGCTGCAGGTTTGTTACAACTTGTGCGTTTTTACGTGTGTACTTTATGGTTTTCATTCGTTTCCAACCATCAAAATGACGTTATTTAATCAATTTCTAAAGTTGATTCTTTTTTTATTTATTTTATTATTTTGGTTAGGGTTAGGGTTAGAGTAGGGTTTAGGTTTATAGTTGGCATTTAACACCTCTTCCATCTTTCGAAAATGACGTCACGTCAGTTTGGTTGTTGGAAATAAGTGCTGACCAGAAAGCCACGGTAATAAAGTACCCCAATACTCCATTGAATACCTCATTACCTCCAGAGATACAGCTGAGGTAGTACTACACGAAGTTTTTATGCTGTACCTCTGAACTAAAATATTGTGGGCTCAAATGTATATTCCAAGAAAGGAAGGTGGAGTCATGGTGGAGTAGAAATTTTGACTCGAGTGCACATGACTGTTTTTAAAAGGTGTTTTTCCTACTAAATATATTTTGCAATGGATCTGGTAACAAGATTACGCAAGTGTACGTATATTAGGAGGGGCATCCATACTCAACTTGCCACGAGAAACGTCAATTTGACGTTTGTGGGTGTGTGGACAGTGTGGGTTATTTTCTTTGACGTTTTACCTATGGCAGTTCGACATATTATAAAAGTACAATATAAAATTCTATTTGTAATACGTACATTAAAAACACAAACCTGTGCAATATTTTCCCTAGTCAAGGAAAATATACAAAACAAACAAACTTTCTTACTTCGCCAGACGGTAAATCAAAGCTTTAGATTTATTTGTTACGTTTATTTTTATTGTTCGCTATAGTCTCTATTCAAAAGTACTTTATGAGATATATAGGATGATATGAAAGTTAATACAAGTATTTTCGAGTATTTGGGTTTTTTCTTGCCACAGATTGACGTTTCTAGGGTGGGTGGGAGGGTACGAAAAAGAAACATCAAATTGATGTTTCTCGTGGCAAGTTGAGTATGGATGCTCCCCCTTACTTAGTATATGTAATATATATTAGCCCGGCATACTTAATCGATGAAAACCGATCATCGGAAATTCAACAATCAATATTAATGAATCGATATTAATTACTTAATTGATATTGATTGACATTGGTCAATTGATGACCAATCGATAGTCTCAAACTTTGTTTTGTGATAACCTAATCTGGTTTCCCTAAAGTAATGTAAGTCCGTAATCTCTTAATTCTATAACTAATTAATAAATGTGTTAGCATGCAGTTAATATTTAAATTTTCTTTATGCGTTCTGTGATCTAATTGGGTTACTTTACAATTCATTTGGACATATAAAATAATAAATTCTAAGTTCTGACAAGTTTTTGTTTTGGTAAACCCAGGTTACAGCAAAGCTGATTTTGCGGTCGCCCAATTTGGTTTCTGCCCCAAGTAATTTTGGACAGGCGTACACTCAACATTTCCATTGAAAAAATCTTTCAACATTAGTTCATTTGAATAAAATGGCCCAAAATCCTAATATTATAGACCTTACAGTTGATTTCACATAACTTTTCCCTAAATACAGCATACTTCATTCTGAACTTTGTTGTGAAGTTCAAAAGTTCATGCTGAAATTCACAAGTTGGTTTGTAAACAAAGCCTCTGATTGGCTTATTTTTGTTCAGGGACCAATCAGAGGCTTTGTTTAGAAACCAGCTTGTGAATTTCAGTATGAACGTTTGAACTTCACAACGAAGTTTGGAACGAAGTACGCAATATTTAGGGAAAAGTTATGTGAAATCAACTGTAAGATTGATGTTTATGGCAGACTGCCAACCGCAAACGGCCGATAAAAAATTGAAGCATGAATTAGCTATTTACTGTATCTGTCAAATGTGACCTTCAAATGTGATTAAACGTCAATTCAAATGTCTCTATCTACATGGGTACTGCAGGCTGATTAATTCAATGACCTCGTTTTGAAAATCAGATGAGTGACAGGCATGCATTCATACCCATCCCAACAGGCTCTGTTTAATAGTGAAAGCCACCTATAGTTTCCCTTTTTGATAATTCAGCATTAACAGTGAGTAAATAACAAAAAATTCCAACATTTTGAACAAGCTACAGGTACTGTAGATGCTTTGACAGGAGCATGAATGGTAACAGCACTGGCTTGAAAACGTGGAGGCTTATATACATTTTTCAGGTCAGCAAGTACCAAAAACAATATGCATCCAAGTGATTACATGAGAACAGACGACTTATATGGCCAAATTAAATATATTTTATATTCTGCGAATTTTAAAGAATTTGAAAATAAAAATAACTGTAGTAACTACAAACAATCACCCAGCTGATCCTTTAGAACCTACAAATGTACCCCCATCTGATCCTGTTGCATCTACAAATATCCCCCAGGTAATCGAGAGGAATCTACAAGAAACCCCCCATCTAAAGGCCATTTTCCACTAGGCGGAATGTTTCTTTGTCCTTTCTAATGGAATTCCAGCTTTTAGTTAATGCGTGCAGAGGGGATGGGATATCGTATTGCTGTTTATGCTGAAAAAATAAAAATGGTGGCCGTGTAAACACAGAGTGATGGCTTATACTTGTCTGCACTATGATACCTTACTTCCCGTAACCCCCAGAACGCATAAATCAAAAGCT